GTACAACTAAAAGTCAATAATAGCAGGTGAATTGAATGAGCCGGTGTAATTATTGCCACCTGAGTAGTGTGACTGTTACCGTACTCATTTTTAGTTTTTTTTTTTTTTTTTAATATTTAAAAATATTAATTTATTAATTATTAAATATTAATTATTGTTATTAATTATTAGTTAATACTTAATAGTTATTGGTATTAATTATTTTATCAATTAAATTAAACAAAACAATATTTTTAAAAACAAGATTTTATATTTTTTAAATAATCTTAATATTTTACTTAGTAACTATAATACTGTTATGAGAGTTGAATATTTATTTTTTATTCTCTTTATTAATGCTTAATTCATTTTTTGAAGAGAAAGGTGTTTTTTTAGGTACAATGTAAATTTATTACCTAAAACTCAATGGTTTTTTTTTTTTTTTTGGTACATGTCTAAAACTGAATGTTAGCAACACACAACAGGTTACTATTGAGTTGTGTCTACAATGAATGAATCAATCAAAAGAAACCAAATAAGAATGTAGCTAATTATCAAGTTAGTCTATATATAGCATTTCTAGTCCCCAATTTGTTGTTATATTACATGGCATGGGAGACATTCTAAGCTTTGCAAAAGCCAGAGCCCGCTTTCTAACATATGCACAAATCATTTCAATATTGACAGTTCAGAGCTAAAAAATCTGTTATGGAACCTGCTGTTTCTTTCCTTCCAGATATGGTAAATAGTGGCACACCATGCCGACTTGATGATGGTATTTAGTAAAGCTTTTCGCTTTAGCCTTTTACAAAGCCAAGAGAGGAGAGTCTGCCATCATCTAATAATAGGAATGCCAGCCATGGTTGAAACTTTCTCCCAAATGAAGCTTGAATATGGACAAGAAAAGAACAAGTGATCTCTTGTAGAAAGCCTATTTAGCACAGCCAACCAAGAGATAAAGCTGTGCTTTGGGATTGGGTTAAAAGATCAAATGATTGTGTGCCAAGGCAATTTTGGCTGCTTGAGTGGCGGAGCCAGGGGGGTGCGAGGGGGGTGCTCGTCCCCCTGAAATTTGAAAATCTTGCAAATCAGTATATAATTAGTATATGAAAAATTATCTAGCCTCCGCTAAACTTTGAAAATTTTGGCATCTTGCCCCCCCTGAAGAAAATTTCTGCCTCCGCCCCTGTCAGCTTGAACCTAATATAGTTCCATGCATGGTCAGTGTGGAATACACCAGTGGGGTAAATTGTATCTGCCTGATATTGATTAGGATACAAGGTGCCACATAATCTTCTTTGTATATGAAGTAACTCGAGATCTAGTCGGAGGCCAATTTTGAAAATTTCCCTGAAAAAGGTGTTTTTTAGTATTGGCCATGTACATTTTTTTTTGTGCAGTTTAGATAATGAAATTACAAAAACATCATTAATAAATAAGGTTATAGGGCAATTTCATTAAAAATATTTAAGTTATTTCAGTATCTAAACTGTATAAAAAAAAATATATAGTTCATATTGAAAAACATTTTTTTGGATGCTTTTATGTTAATTTTGATTTTTTCTAATTGCTTTCTGTAGTTTTATAAATTGCCATATAAGAGCATGTATGGACAATGCAACCAAGAGTGTAAAAGTTCAAACATTGCAGCAGCGTAATGCCATCTGATGGAAATTTCAGCTTATGCTGTTCTATCAGACTTTTACACTAGGATTTTACTCTGCTATGTAGATCATGATCATCATCGCTGAAAGCATCATCGTTACAGACAATGGGAGATTGCTTTTGATGCTCCGTCGGTTCTCCTTGCGTAGGCAGATTGGCATAGCATTGGCATTTGGGCTTAGAATGTTGATGGGTAGAGAAGATGGACGGGATTATTGGTTAATGGAAGTGGAAATACAAGCAAAAAAGTCCTCAAACTTTACTGAAGTAGAAGTCATTCATTCATGATTCGATATTTGATAATTCCAGTTTTATCTTTTCTTGTGCTTCGACTAAATTCAGAGTGTGGAAAACTCAGGACAGAAACAACAATGGCTGCTTCATCATCACTTGTTCGAGCTAGTCTGATTATCCACTACAACCATTTACCTATTTGCTCTACAGACAGTGTCAGGATATTCAGAACAACTTTTGGAGGGGGATAAAATCCAACAGCATGCAATTCTGATAATGGAATTAAACAAGGAAAGAAAACTAAGACATTAGGAAGGGGATGGGCTAGATGAAAACCCAGAATTCCCTCTCATGGTTTTGTTTCTATCAATTAGTTCTTTTGTAAATGGATCTTTCCAATTCCATGTTCCCCCTGAATGCAGTAACCATGTATGATTGCACTTTCCTTCCTCTGTACTTTGTGTAAAGAATGGCATATCACGGATATTTGACTCCCCCTTAGAACATCCATCCCCCTTCGAGATGCTGAGCATTTGCTAGTTCTGGAAAAGGGAGTAACATCAGTCATACGAATATACTTTGCGCAACTGAATAGTGTGTATTAACAGACATTTATGGTGGCAAGTATCCACCAGCGTGCACCAGAATGAGTGCAAGCATTAAGTCAAATGTGCATGCTGCAATGTGTTTGGATGATGTAAAGTTTGATGGGTAGAAAATAACTTACCAGGATGGAACTAGCGAGCTTCAACTCTGCTTTGTTAATAGTTGAATGTCAGCTCCAACTTCTGCGATCTTAGCTTCTTTAGAAACCTTGGCTGCTTTGGCAATGCTGTCAACTTCAAAGTCCAATGCCAATTGCTTCACAAGACCCTCAAGCATCTGTCATAGAAGGCACATTTAAGACATTATTGATCAAAACAACAGGCAAATTCATGGGGAAATATCCGGCGTGAGAAATCATACCAAGCTCCAAATATCAGTTAGTTGATTAATGTCAACCCAAAAAGCCTGCTGCTTCTACACCCCCCCCCCCCTCTCTCCCTCTTTTTTTTTGAGACCCTTATAGTGCGTCCATTCTTACAAATATGCTTGAGATGTTAAAGCCAGGATGCAACACTAGCACAAGGGTTTCACTCATTGGAAAAGAAAACATATGATAATCAACATCTTTGATTTCAAATTGACTGACAAACACAATAGACAATCCCTTTAGTTAAATTCACAAATGAACACGTATAATTGAAAGCAAAATATTTAAGCTGGCAAATTTTAGCTTGATCTCAGAACACTAAACCTAACTCAAATCTTCCTTAGCACAAGATGCATGAATTTGACCTAGAAAAGGTGGAAAGGACCATAAAAAATCATTGGATCGCAGATAATTCTAGTTCTTGCTACAGGATACACAATATAGCCAATAATTAACTGAGTGACAAAAACTCCCAGGCCTGACTCCTGTTACCTAGCAAACTGTGCATTGAAAAAAAGGTTATAAGAAGATACCAGTGATCCAATAGCAACTAGAGCTCGGTATTTTGAATCAACTTCTGCATTTTCCTCTTCAGCAAACTGCATGACGGGATAAAACAAAGGCCAACGTTTATGACTACACTCACAGAACCTATAGTTCCATAAAAGATTAATGCCATCCATTCCAAACAGGGGGAACACCAGAATAAGTCTTGCATAAATATTTTTTTTACCAACAAATAAAAAGAAAAAAGAATAAGTCTTTTGAAAGGAATCAAATCAGGAAAAGGATATGAGGCCTTCCATTCGCAAAGCTAGTGGATACCTGAAGAGCTGCTGAAAGAACATGAGATTGACCTTCTTCATCCTTTTTTTCAATCAAGAGCACTGCGTAACTGTGAAGCAGACATGGTTTCTCATAAGACAGAGACCACTATGTTTACAGTAGTCAATCTCATAAATCATATGGGATGATTAACTTTGACATATTAATATGCAGTATAAATCCGCAAATTAAATATATGACATATTATTAACAACATAATTTTTGAGTTGAATTAGGAATCATGAAGCTATTCCTAAGCATGCCAATCCATGGAAAGAAAATAGTTGATCCCAAAGAGAAAGTATCATGCTTCAACAGAATGTTCAAAGGATGCCATTATCAAACTAAAACTTTTTGGCAAATTGACAATCACCAGTCTTAAACATAATTACATAAATATATACTGAAGAATTGTGACAAGTAGAACATGTTGACTTACCTATAAAACAGAGTTTTCCACCCTTTATTTACTAGATCTAAGCTATTTTAGTACCTTTCTTCATTTCAACACACAGATCCTACAACAGTGATTTTCCAATTGATAGCATCTTTAGCCAAATACAAGTTTCTCAAATATAATATGCAGGATCACCATAGTTGCCAATAGAAAAACACACACCAAAGTAAATGGAAATATCTAACATGCACAAACTACCATGGAGAAAGTTGGCATGAGGGGCAGATGCATGGGGCACCACTATCATCATGCACATATATCATGAACAGAATGCTTACTTCAATAACAAGGTCGAATAGGACAACTGTAGATTCTTGTTTGGAGATGAAACACAATTTGAAAATGCATCAATAATCTGCAAGATCAGGCAAAAATGTAAAAATTGTAAGGTATTGCTCAAATGCAAGAGAGGCTCGGCTCGGCTCAAAATATCTGCAATGACAGTATCCATAAAAATATGCAAAACACTAATACCTAGCTTAACATTAACAGTATCCATTATGCCCAGAAGACTCTAATAATTTTTCATTGAGATCAAAACAATTAGTCAATTACAATATCCTATCTGCTAACCGCTAAGCTTCAACACTATAGTCTAAAAGATAAGAATAATGATAAATAGTTAAGCATAAAAGCAAAAATATAAACATACATTGAAATCTATGCCCATATTCTAGGAAGCACAAAAGTTATTCCCTACATTAAAAACACGGGTAATACTTCAGAGTTATTTCTCACTAGAAATTCTTCATTGTGTACTTACGTCACTACGATGCTTTTGCAGCCAGTTCTGGTAGGGAGAATTCTTAAATAGATTTGTGATGGCACGAATGCTAGTCAGAAGATTTGGAGGAAGTGCAGGATCTGTAGTGACTCTCTTAACCATTTCCACTAGTACATCTGGGAAGGCACACAAAATTTATAGTTATGATCAAATTTGGAATAAAGAAAACAACAATCAGGCATAAACACCTCTACCATGTCATTGATACTTTTAGGGACTGGTATGAGCCAAATATTTTTAGGCCCAATTCCTGGTTCATCCAGTGCATTAACCATCCATGATAAGTCTTATAAGAAGATTTTAGTTTCAGATGAGAGACAACAGAAAAGAAATTAGAGCAGCTGTTCCCAGCTCTAGCATCTCATTTCAATATGCTTGGAGATTAGAGACGCTAAAAACAAACACAGCAGAAAAATTTATTAAGCAGAGTACCATTCTCATTCTCAACATGCTTGAGAAGTTTACTTGCCCCATCAGGATGCAAGATGATCATCCTCAGAATATCAATAACTGCACATAGGATCAAATGGTAGTGAGAAGGTTAATACTGCATTTGAAACAAAAGCGAAATCCATCAACTTACAAAGAACAAACTGACTAGACAACCATATTGATGCAAGAATGAAGGAGAAAAATAGAAACATAGAATAATGAAATAAAACCCCAGTAGAAAGATTATGAAAAACAAAAAATAAATAATACATATGGCATTTGACATAGAGACTGTTCAATATACATAAAGTAATCCCAAAACAGATTGTAAAACAAGGGTAAAAAAAATAATATACCTACCTAATATAAATCAAGATAGAATTAATTAGAACAAAGTCAAGCATTGCAGGAGAATTACTCTTTATTTCTAGAACTGTTCATTTAATGAGAAGTTGTATTTGGGATCCATGTACTTGAAAATAGAAACAGAATGTATGTGGGAATCAATCACAAAGACAAAATTGGAGAAAGAAGTGTATATCTCAAATTTGTATGCCTTAGACATGCTCCCTCAAACAGTCACCTCATAGGAATCTAAGGATCAATTAAAAAGGATAGTTTCACATCTCAGAACATTAGGTTTACAGTAGTGGATATTGAGGTAAAGGGTTCTGACAGCGATTTCTCCCTTTCATAAATGATCTAATTTGGTATTCTAGAACTTTGATCAAAGTCTTTCAAGTTTTGATTATTACCAGTCATAAAGGGCGACAAGTTGAAGCATTAACAGGATCCAAAAGATAGCAAGAAATTCTTTTCTTTTTTGTTATTTGAAGTACAAGTGTACACAACACAGATTACAACCATTACGCAGAGAGTACAAATACAACCCAATCTGAAAGTCAAAAACCAACAAAGTACAAAGAAATCACAAAGAAACAAATAAACCAGGAAAAACCTGGACAAAAACCCACATGCATGGGACTCAAATCCACAACCTACTGTTGTGGGCCTAAACCTTTAGGTTCTCTACTAAACCTGAGGCCTTATTGGCTCAAGAAATCTATTTTTTAATTAAAGAGAATGGAAAAACATAAAGTTCCAGCCAGCTAAATCAACAAGATCTAGAATTCAGGAAGTTTATGGGAGTGGAAGGACTATCAGCAATTCATCTTAAATTGTCATACCAAAGAAAATAAAAGATGGAACCTATGCTCACAAAGAACACCCATAAAAGAACTTAATAAGAGCATAAACTACAAGATTTAAATTTAAGCACACAACCTGGAAATATCATTGCAAGTGGCCATGATTTCAGCAATTTAAGCAACAATGCAATGTCAACATCAGCAAAACTGCTAGAGTGGTAATGTGAAGTGTCATTCAGAATTTTAATTATGACACCTAGTCTGGATATCTCAAGCTCTGTCAGAGACAAATTCTTTTTGTCCTGCAAAAAATTTTAATGAAGCTATTATACAGAAAGATTAAAAGACCATGCAGCTAGTTTCCAGCATGGGCCACACAGATGCACCAGAAAATGTAGAAGACAAAATTAGGTCTCTAATGAAAACTCATTTCAACAGGACCGAAGGAAAAA